ATGTTGATTTATAACAACTATTCCTGACTAGGACTCGAAGCTAGGAGTGTGTAACTAGGATCTCACTAGCTCCGTAGATATGAGTTATTTACTCATACGTGGGTTAAATCTCGCTGTTCGTTATTCATGGTTGAGTAAGTAGGTAAGTAAGTAAGTAACTAAGTAAGTAAGTAGGTCGTGTCTGTAGGGCTAGTTAGGTCCTAGTTGCATACTCCTTTTCGTGGGTCGTTTGGTATGGTTGGTTTTGTACCCGGGGTGACCTAGGTTCGAGGTCAGGTCAGGGAGGGTTGTTTTATATTTCCTTATATATAGGAGATATAAGAGTAAGGGCCCAATTGCATCCAGCTATCTTTTATATGGAAAATAGCATATACAAACAATAGGGCAAATATATCTAAAATCCTATCTTCTATTGTCTTCCGTCGCTGATAAAAAATAACAAAGTTATTTGACATGCAAAGTGTCTCAGAACCCAAAATGAGAAATTTGGGATAAATAGTAAGCTGCAGGTAATGATGGTAGGCAGACAAAGGTACTTATGCATGGATATAATGTCCTCCCGAAGGTACGCTCCACCCTCATTTGCCCCACAGGCAAATAATACAAGAGCTCCTTCCTATAGGCCCATTGAGTCAGTCTCAGCGACAATATCCTGGTTTTTCCGTTACGGAATATTCCCATCACCCAGATCCTGTAGGTTAACTTTACTTTATTGATACCACGTGATCCTCCACTTTGCAGTAGCTATGTCAATGTGCATGCCTGTGTTCACTCATTGTAACTCAAATACTGGTACTAGAATTAATGATGTCAGTGTTGTATTTTTGTTTTGTACATTTTAATGATGACTATCTTTAATTGTTAAATGACCAAGTCATATTGTTATGGGTTATTAGTATATCTTTCAATAGAGATTGACCAAAAAATATAAGCATTTTCATCCAGAACAACAGCTTATCAAGTAAAGTCCCTAATTATATCCTGTCAATACACCTTGATATGATTTGATAATCCACCCATGGTAATACTCTCACACCACAGTATTCAAATAAGATTATTCTAGATCATTGCTTGGATAAGCACTCAGATGCATTTTTAGTGGATATAACTTGTGTAACTTTTGTTGAATAAGTTCAGAGTAGTTGTATTATACATCAGTTTAGAAATTCTTTTAACAGATATATATGTGTGTGTGTGTGTGTGTGTGTGTGTGTGTGTGTGTGTGTGTGTGTGTGTGTGTGTGTGTGTGTGTGTGTGTGTGTGTGTGTGTCTGTGTGTGTCTGTGTCTGTGTGTGTGTGTGTGTGTGTGTGTGTGTGTGTGTGTGTGTGTGTGTGTGTGTGTGTGTGTGTGTGTGTGTGTGTGTGTTTGTGTGTGTTTGTGTGTGTTTTAGAGAGAGAATAATATACATAGATGTGTATACGTATACAGATAGATAGGTTAATAGTTTAATATATTTTTTAAAAAGACATCTTTCTTTTCAAGGACCATGCAGAGGCAAGTAAATTATCAGACTGTAAAAAGATTTTAGAGAACTGCATGTTATATGCTTATTCATGCCCCATCTGTAAAGAAGAAAATATTTTTTATTGTTTTGGCAGTTCATGCTTAGGGAGGGAGGAATATACATATATATTTTTCAAAATGTTGTATTAAATTTATGTCTCCCATGATAAACAGCTCAAAATACTTTCCCATTAGAATATACTTTCATAAAAAAATATGGTAGATATCACGTAATACAGGTAATAGATACAATAATGCAGTAGTATTAGTACATGATATATGAATAGTTTATATAATGGTTTTATATTAATATTTATTTACTTTCTTATTATATAACCAAATTATAATCAATGTAGGATGATATGCACATAGTATGAATTCCAAATTTCCAATTAACATAAGAAGATATGGCTTAACATATATTATCTTTTATCAAGTTGGACTACTGTATGTTAGTAACATCGAGTAGAAAATTAGTTTGATGTCTTGAGTACAAAACCTACAGTTGTAGCATTCTAAGAAGTACTTAATATCTCATTGCTGAGTAGAATAATTATCTCTATGGTTAGTTATGATTATAGTTATATTTATCCAATGTGCGAGCCATCTCTTCTGCCTGTTTTGTCTTCAGTATTGAAAATGGCAATATGAATATTCAACAAAATACTTCACTATGTTGTTATTTAATACATTAGTCTCTATATAGTTTTGCTACATACTACTATACTATGAAGTATGATAGTTTATTCTCTTGTCTTGTATGTGTGTATATTTTTTGCATGAGCACTTTTCACTCGTTTGGAATACGACTTCATGTGCTTAACAGTTTATTGACTATGTATGTGTAATTATTTTGGTTAAGTGATCTGTTTGTGCTCCAGTTATCTTCTACTGATATTGTTGTTATTTAACCTCTAAATGGTGGGTTACGTGTCAGTTTAAGGTACAAAAGTTGTAATGAAATCAAGTAGTCAAGTGAAACAGACCACGTTTAAAGTAATTATGGAATATGACATTATTTGCTTCAACATTTGCACAGGCTAGATAATTATAAGTAATGAATGTGAGGCAGAGGCAACATGTCAAGCTGTTGTTATTGTTCTCAACATCATCATTATCTTTATTATCATCACTAAAATTATTACGATTGTTATTATCATTATTAAGGCTACCATTATTATTATCACTGCTATTATCATTGCATAGGAACACAAAGACATCAGTGCATACGGATTATCAGCTGACTGCTTGTTCTAATCCCTAGGGTAGTGGGCAGTTGCTCCATTAAGAATATAAAGTCTTGAGAGGAGTGTACTTTAGTCCTATCACATTTTTGTCTTTTAAAATAATCCTGCAAAATGAGAATGTCTTTTAGTGCATCACCCACCTTTCTCTAAGGCAGTCACACACCATTTAGGGGTTAATATTGAATGGTTGTTATATTTTATTGTTATTTTATTAAAAATCATTTAATTGCAACCATATGTATGTTTTGCAAGTACTCTACATACTGATAAGTATGCTGGCTCTTTTACTGTGTATGACATCCTCTGTCAAATGCAAGTAATTTGATGTTGAATAATATGAATTGGGTGTATTTATATCATAAAATAAGTCATTATAGACAGAAAACAGATGTAGTTGTTTAGAAAACATATTAGAGAGCTTTGTGTAGTGTTTAGCATGGTTGTAATGTAGTTATTTTGATTACAATTAATTCATTTATTTGTGTACTCAAAAATATAATGTATTTTTATATTGCTAACAACTATTTGCATATTTTTGTATTTATCAGGGTTCATCGGGACTTTAATACACTCCTATGCAATTAGTGAGTGGCCCTGTAATTATTTGTATTTGAATTTTACAAATGTATGAAATTTCTTTGCTTTCTTTTTAATTACCTGGAACTAGATATTGTCCAGATGATATTTGGTCTTGAAATTATGTAATTATACTGATATCACTAATTAGGAGAAGTTATTATCATGTTTCGAGAACTTTACTCAAGAATGCACCCCTTAAAGCATCTGCATTATCAACTGCCTACTCCCCTGTCATTTTTACTCATACTCTTGCATCACGCGATCTCTAGCCCCAACACCAAAATCCCAAACACGCACATGAACATGGCCATCATCACCCACACAGCCCTCATTATCCATACCATTGCATTAGTCATCTCCACCATTAACACGACCATCACCAACTACAATGGGATGACACATCTTGTAGTACTGCTGGGATTATTAGCATCACCGTCATAGTCATCGTTATGCACTCTTCCATAGTCACCATTATCATCACCACTACTACAGCTGCTGCAACCACTGTCACCATCACCCCCCCACCCCCCTCTTTAGAAAAAATAAAATGGTATGAAAAAAAAATAATAATAATAAATAAAAGACACTGTATTATCAGATGCATTAGACATAGTGTCAAGAGAGTTCCTGGTACTGTTAGATATCACCATAACCTAAAACTGTTTATCAAAATTGTTATTGTAATTAATGTAAGGCTAATGGTATATTTACAACTGCATAAAGGGTATCTGCAGTGTATGATTAAAATGGATATGAAAACCTTATTGAATGAGGTGTAAAATGGTGCTTTTTCTAATATAGAATATATATATTAACCCAATAGTGACCAACCTACTATATATAGTAGTAGATATTTTAACGTCTCTCGTCATTAATCTACCTTAACATAATGGATGAAACTGATATATTTTAATTGCTTTTGACTCATAATAAAATTTTTTATGCATCGGGTTAGCATATCATCATTTTCAATCCGAGTTCAGCATAGTTGCCGTGAATTAAGGGCAGTAGGTGCTTCATTTTACGTTTTATGTATGTATTTCACAAAGCTATGTAAAGGAGTTCGAGTAAGGGACACTGTGGTAGGGACTTTACGTGATTAATAATGTCTACTACAGTATATATATAGTAGGTTTGGAACATTTGCATACAAGGAAATGTGTTTGTGAACATTGTTTGTGGCTTAGTGGATTCCTTGTGGCTGGTATAATCATGCAACACATTCTAAGTGAGATTCAGAGGTTGTGTTTCAAAGGAAAGAATATGTGTTAAAAAAAATGGTAAACACATTTTACAATCAAAGATATTTTGAAGTGAGTGGTGTTATGAGATGCTGGCTGTGTTACAACATAAATAAATACACACACACACACACACACACACACACACACACACACACACACACACACACACACACACACACACACACACACACACACACACATATAATCATAAACCTGTATATATATGTATGGGTATTATTTTTTTTAGATATGTTAGTGATAGGCATAATGTGTACAAACAGTTATATTAACCTGTTGGATCCAGTTGCACTGCAGTTTGGACATGGACCAAAATTCAGAAATTTAATCTTCCTCGAATGGCCCTCCCAGGTATGTGGTGCAGCCCGCATAATCACTCATGCTGTATCAAGACCCCTTGCCTCCTTTTTGCAATGATATTAGCAATATTTCTGCAGACTCTATTGTGGTGTTTTTCAATTTTCCAAGTTCTGTCTTTGTCATTTGTTATGCTATGTCAAGATAATGATAGGCTGTTTTCTCTAAGCAGAGTCTACAATATCACTCTGTGGAGTAGTAGTAACAAATAGCATTGTGTTATATTTGTCTTTTTATTATATTTTTATATTATTCAGTTTTCCGTAATACCCTACACTGCTAGTAACAGGGGGCAGGCATAGGTTCTTGTGCATCGACAAAGTGTCTTCCCAGGCATGGTAAAAAATTTTCCATGATGGGACGTCCCTGTCATCCACCCCTTAGTAAAATTATTTCTTGACGAGTCTTGCCCGGATCCAATGGGTTAATCAGCTCAGCATTCTCTCACGTGTGTTTGAATTAAGCTAAGGAATACGTGTCATGAAAATATTTACTATTACTGAAATATGTTACTCCCTTTTCTCCCATACACTTGCAGTTCCCACTATGGCTAGCAAACTATTCACCATCGCACTAGTGGTTGCTTTAGCCGCAACTTTGATTAATATCTACGTGAAGAATAAGGTCAGCACATACTTTACCGTTGTCGGTGTTGGTTGTTTTAGAACTCTGGTCCTTTTGGCATTTGGTGTGGAAAAGGATATATGCATATCTGTAGCCTGCCTCTCCTTTGCTGATGCTTTGTGTAGCCTAAGAGGATGAATGTATGGAATAGAACTGGTAATCGATTATTGTTTAACGTGTGGACAGAGTGTTTTATGGCTGAAAAACTGGAATGGTTTCTCCTATATAACCTTTATTGTGAATTGTACCATTGACAAGACAGTTCTTAAACGTGATGTGTATTCCCAACTCCTATTTTTAAAGTGACCTGAAATGTTCAGTTTTATGTAAAAAGTATAATAGAGTTGATTATATCTTTATTACTCAGCCATTACAGTATCAGAGATTTCATAGTACAAGGATGTCATCTGCTTGCATAGTGCTTTGAAATTATTGATTGAAAGTCTACTCTTACTAATGCTTATATTATCTCAGGGTGAGACTCGGTACCTGTTCCACACAGAATGGTATGACCCTGTGTCGGCAACTGTCCGGAAATTCCTCCTGAGTTTTTTCCCGCGAGATAACTCCGTGGAAATGGTAAGTTGGGTGAAGATAAGTGGCTTTCTGTATATTTAATGCCATTGGATGGTGTGTACATTTTGAATTGTGATTTTCTCATTTTATGACTACTATGACCTTTATTATTGTTGTTGTATGACCTGTTCCATAATGCAAATTTCCTTGAAAGAGTTAAGTCAAAGTACACTATCAAAGGAATAAAAGATGATTTATAATCTATGAGTTAAAACATGGCAGTGCTCAACCTTATTAATTAATCCCCCCTCCCCCCACTCTGCAGTATGATTTGCGGTCCCAGCGTCTGTTTTTAAAGCGCTTGGCCATTGAGGGGTTAGATGAAAAGGATTTTTATCTGGGCAATACCATAGTTGTGCTTTCGAGACAATTGAAGATCACGGAATATGCAGATTCCACCACCAGGGATATCATAAGCTCTAAGAGACAGAGGTAAAGTATACTACTTTTATAAGTTTGTAGTAATCTCTCTTTCTGTGTCTTTCTCTTTTTAATTTGCTTTTTTTTTGTGCCTCTCTTTCTCTCCTTTATTCGTTTTCTTTTTCTTTTTTTCTTAAGCTTTCTCTTAATGCTTACTCTTTCTCTCTCTCTGTCTCTCTCTCTCACTTTCTCTTTCTCTCTCTCTCTTTCTCTCTCTCTCTTTCTCTCTCTCTCTTTCTCTCTCTCTCTTTCTCTCTCTCTCTCTCTCTCTCTCTCTCTCTCTCTCTCTCTCTCTCTCTCTCTCTCTCTCTCTCTCTCTCTCTCTCTCTCTTCTCTCTCTCTCTCTCTCTCTCTCTCTCTCTCTCTCTCTCTCTCTTTCTGTCTCAATCTCTCTTTCTTTCTTTCTTTCTCTCTCTTTCTCCCTCTTTCTCCCTCTCTCTCTCTCTCTCTCTCTCTCTCTCTCTCTCTCTCTCTCTCTCTCTCTCTCTCTCTCTCTCTCTCTCTCTCTCTCTCTCTCTCTCTCCTTCCCCCCCCTATTCGCCCCCACTTCATTCTCAGTGTCTTTGTACATTCCTAACTCAGTTTTCTTTGTTTTCTTTCTTGTAGTCAAAATAGATAGATACAATAAACAAAGTAGAAAACGTCGGGTAGTTTCAAACGCATTTTTGTACGAGTTTCACGGATGTTGACGAGAGCCTTGATTATTTATCTCTGATCAGATGAGGTCGGCAAATAGAGTAAGGTCTGAGAACATTCTGCAATAGCTTCAAAAAGGCCTACTGACCCTCATTTGACGGTTTTGGTAAGTTTTGGTTAAGTTTATTGCAACGAGAGGATGGGTACTTTTTTCTATTCTCTTTGTGGTGGTGATGTGGCTATGTGATTTTTTTTTTTTTTTTGTTTTTATGATAACCGGATTCGCTTTGATAATAATTTCAACTGAATCTCATATTTCCAGCTGCAAAGTCTCCGCCAGTGATTTACGCTACATTTTAGGAATAACCGAGCATGCCTTTGGGGATTAAGAAGTTGATTTTAAGATATTAATTATTTAATTTTATTTGATTTTCTTGTCTATTGATTTATTTATTTTCATTTATTTATTTTTTTTTATTTATTTATTTATTCATTTAATTTATTTATTTATTTATTTATTCATTTATTTTATTTATTTATTTATTTATTCATTTATTTATCTTTATTTATTTATTCATTTATTTATCTTTATTTATTTATTTTTATTTATCATTATTTATTTATCTTTATTTATTTATCTTTATTTATTAATTTATTTTTATTTATTTATTTATTTATTTATTTTTTTACATGGTGTTGCTTTGGGTCATTGAGTACTCATATACTTATGTGGTCAAGCTTTTCTTTTCTTTTTTGACAGCCAAGTGGTATAAACTTGGTTTAATATTCACATTAAACGGGAGAACACTAACATTGTATTCCCTGACTGCTATGACGCATTATGGGTATAAGGAAAAGTTTGTTAATATGAGGTTTTAGTTTATAAGTTAAAACAAAATTTGTAAGAAACTGCAATTCATTAATTTTATCTTGCAAACCAGCTTTCATCAGCAGGTTTGCAAGATAAAATTAACTCAAAAGTCTTATAAAATTAATCCTTCTTCGGTGATCATGGTGAAGCTGTAGTTGTGAAAATAATTAATTATCACTTTTGTAAAGAGATCTTATTAAATCTTTTATTACCATTATCCTCCAAAATAATGGATAAAAATAGTCTTAACATATAGGGCAAAAAATTATATATACAAGTCAACCTGCAATAGTTCAAGATTCATATAGATAGATAGATAGATATAGATACAGATACAGACACAGACACACACACACACACACACACACACACACACACACACACACACACACACACACACACACACATACGTATAGATGTAGAGATATAGACGTAGAGATATTATACACTCAAATATCAACACACCCTTGCAGAACTTTTGCAATGGTGAAGCCTGACGCAGTGCACAGACTGGGTGAAGTCATCGACGTGATCCAGAGCAGGAACTTCGAGGTGAGCCAGATGAAGATGGTGCAGCTGACGCGAGCCCAAGCGGGACTGTTTTACCGCGAGCACGAAGGCCGGCCGTTTTTCGAGTGAGTTGATGTAGCATTGGTGTTTTGGGTCAGGGATTTTCTTCTAAGACATACAGCCTGGCTTTTAATGGGTTTTGTGAATTTTTTGTTTGTGTATGAATATGGAAAGGAGGAAACAGAAAATGAAATAACATAATTTTTTTTAATGAATTACATATATTATGATTGTTATTCCTACAAATTATAGTGACTGCTATCCATTATTGTCAATTACTATCATTATATTTAATGACATGATTATCAGTAATATTAATAATATCCATATAATTACATGCATATTTATTCTTTTCTCTCTCTGGATGGCAATGTAATAAAAAAAAATAATAATGATAATATTATCAATATCATGATCACTAATGTATTTTCCTTTCCACCAACCAGGCCCCTCCTAGACTACGTAACAGGAGGCCCAGTCGTAGCCATGGAGCTGATCACAACCAATGCCGTGCAGCGATGGAGGGAGACTCTGGGCCCGACAGATGCGGAGCTGGCAAGACGAGACCATCCCGACACCATCCGCGCCAAGTTCGGGAAGGATAAGCAGTCAAATGCAGCCCACGGATCCGATTCGGATGTGGCGGCCACTAGGGTACAGTGACTGGGTCTCGTCTCCTCATTTTATGTCTGTGTATTTTTTTTTTTTTTTTTTTTTTTTATATGTATTATTTTTTTGTTTATTTATTTATTTATTATTTTTTATACAGAACTATCTGAAAATATTTCCTATATATATATATATATATATTTTTCTTTTTTTTTCTTTTTCTTTTTCTTTTTCTTTTATATCACCCCCCCTCCCTCCACTGACCAAGAAAAAATAAATGTGGTAAAGAGTTAAGTGTACTTGCTTTGCACTTTTTCCTTGATTATAATGAATTTTTCCAAAATTTTAACAAATTCAGAAATCCACAATTTTTGAAAATAAAAGATCAAAAGATGCAATGAGAAGAGATGAAAAAAAAATACTGTAAAAAGATAAAAAATACATGAACTAATTTAAGAAAATTATTAGATTATAATTAGCAACAGAAGACAATAGAAAACTTGTACTGCAGTGCTTAGTTAAGGGCCTATTTCTTTGTACAGAATTGCTGAACAGTGCCAGTTATTTTATCCCATTCCCGATGGGCATGCAGTGCTATGCCCACTGTGAGATTCCTTGTTGGGTTGTTTTCACACATAGATGGCAACACTTGTACTAAATCACCAATGAGCCAGTTACGAGTACTGCCCGTCTCGCCCGTTCACCCTTTTCTTTGATTTACGAAATATTTTACATTATCTTATTTTGCTGTTTCTAATGTTAAAAGAAATTATAAAAATTATAATGTTTATGATAAAATAACACCATGGATATTCATGGCACTAGTGAAAAATACGTTTTTCCCGCCATTTCAAATCAGGCACTAGCAGAGCCATCTATCGGCAGACATTTCACGAAAAACATAGAAAGTGGGCACAACATTTTCCTCATTTTTTGTTCATTTTCCCTGGCGGCATTGGGTTAAAGGGCAGTAGGGTACTTTTATTACATAACAAAAAAAATTATAAGGAAATAAAGGATGTTTTTTTCGAGTAGGGCAGTGCGTACATTCAGTTGATTGTGGTTCAGGGGATTTTTTTGTGATTGATGCCAACATATTCTTACTTTGGTTTTCAGAATGACTTGTTGGTCATGGGTCAGGTTAGGATAACGTGATTATATTACATATGTACTCAGTAAATGTAATATGAATTTGTACATAGTTTCATCAATTTTGATATAATTAGGGTCTATAATGTATGTTTGTTCTTTCTTATGATAGCTAATTCCTGTTACCCAGCCCTCAGTCAGGCTTTTTTTATGATGTAATAGTAACATCAACTGGATCCAATGTGTTGATAAAAAAAAGGTAAAAATATAAACTAATTCCTTTTTTTTTTTCCAGGAAATTGAGTTCTTCTTCCCTTCCTCCAAAGTTCATGACGTAATGGTGCCCCAGACAACAGCAAGATTCCTTGAATAATACGTGTTGCATCATTAAACCCCATGCAATAGCAGATGGTAAGTGATGGAACTGGTCATGCCACATCTTTTGATTGCATTTCTGTAGACTTTTGTCTGTGGCCAATATTTATAAGTAAACAGTGTCATTTGGGTATGTAATTATTCTATGTCATTTATAGGTAACATTTTAAGCCTTATTAATCTCATGACAGTGGTGTTTATTACCAACCTAAAGCACAAGAAGCATATCGCATATTTGTAGCTCCTCAGTGACTGTACTCAGATCACCCTCTCTCTCTCTCTCTCTCTCTCTCTCTCTCTCTCTCTCTCTCTCTCTCTCTCTCTCTCTCTCTCTCTCTCTCTCTCTCGCTCGCTTTCTTTCTCTCTCTCTCTCTCGCTTTTCTCTCTCTCTTTCTCTCTCTCTCTCTCTCTCTCTCTCTCTCCTCCCTCCCTCCCTCTCTCTCTCTCCCCCTCTCTCTTTCTCACTCTCACTCCCTCTTCCTCTCCCTCTTCCTCTCCCTCCCTCTCTCTCCCTCTCTCTCTCTCTCTCTCTCTCTCTCTCTCTCTCTCTCTCTCTCTCTCTCTCTCTCTCTCTCTCTCTATCATGTATCTGAGCATAAGTGGGTTAATATGTTATTAGCAGGTAACATATAAATCTTATTAATACATGTTATTCACAGGTAACATGGGCAGCATACTCAAAGCAATAAAAGACGAGGGATTTGAGGTGTCGGCTCTCCAGATGTTCCGCATGGACAAAATTCAGGCCGAGGAGTTTTTGGAGGTGTACAAGGGCGTAGTTAGCGAATATCCGGTAAGTGATGGTTGTAATGTATGGTAGTAATTTTTATAGTGATGTTAATAGTTGTGATGTACTATTAGTCTCATTATGTATAATTATTGTTATTATTAGAATTAGTTTTTTTTTTTCTCTCTCTCTCTCTCTCTCTCTCAGTCAAGTTTGGAATTTTGTTACTTGACCATTAAAATGAGTGTGTATTGTTTTTATAGAAGAATCTTGAGAACTCTAAGCCCAAAAAACATGATACAGAATAAGATATATATAAACATATATAGATAGATAGATAGATATAGATATATTGATAGATTGCTAGGTAGATAGATGAATAGAATAAAAAATTATGGTAATAAATAGAAATATACTAAAATGAAAAATACTTTCTTTTCTAGGGTATGCTACAACAGTTGATCTCGGGCCCTTCAGTTGCCATAGAGATCACGAGCATCCACGCAGGACAGACTCCAGTTAAATTTAGGGAATTTGTAGGACCAGCTGATCCAGTAAGTATTTTTTTTATATTGAGTTTTTAGCTTTAGGATTGTATAAGTTGAGTGTATGTTTCAGGTTCAGTTTATTGATTATTATTGTTATTTGCAATATTATTGTTCTTTTTTATGTTAGCTAATTCCTGTTTACCCAGCCCTCAGTCAGGCTTTTTTTATGATGTAATAGTAACATCAACTGGATCCAATGTGTTAATAAAAAAAAAAGGTAAAAATATAAACTAATTCCTTTTTTTTTCCAGGAAATTGAGTTCTTCTTCCCTTCCTCCAAAGTTCATGACGTAATGGTGCCCCAGACAACAGCAAGATTCTTGAATAATACGTGTTGCATCATTAAACCCCATGCAATAGCAGATGGTAAGTGATGGAACTGGTCATGCCACATCTTTTGATTGCATTTCTGTAGACTTTTGTCTGTGGCCAATATTTATAAGTAAACAGTGTCATTTGGGTATGTAATTATTCTATGTCATTTATAGGTAACATTTTAAGCCTTATTAATCTCATGACAGTGGTGTTTATTACCAACCTAAAGCACAAGAAGCATATCGCATATTTGTAGCTCCTCAGTGACTGTACTCAGATCACCCTCTCTCTCTCTCTCAGTCAAGTTTGGAATTTTGTTACTTGACCATTAAAATGAGTGTGTATTGTTTTTATAGAAGAATCTTGAGAACTCTAAGCCCAAAAAACATGATACAGAATAAGATATATATAAACATATAGATAGATAGATAGATAGATAAAGATATATTGATAGATAGCTAGGTAGATAGATGAATAGAATAAAAAATTATGGTAATAAATAGAAATATACTAAAATGAAAAATACTTTCTTTTCTAGGGTATGCTACAACAGTTGATCTCGGGCCCTTCAGTTGCCATAGAGATCACGAGCATCCACGCAGGACAGACTCCAGTTAAATTTAGGGAATTTGTAGGACCAGCTGATCCAGTAAGTGATTTTTTCATATTGAGTTTTTAGCTTTAGGATTGTATAAGTTAAGTGTATGTTTCAGGTTCAGTTTATTGGGTATTATTGTTATTTGCAATATTATTGTTCTTTTTTATGTTAGTGAGACTTTGCTGATTGATGTAAGAATGATATACATTTGTAAAGAAAGGGGAAAAAATGGGAAAGTGAATATGTAATCGAAACAGAGATTGATTATTTGATGAAATAGATTTAGGTGATATTCAGATTCCTCTAACATTTCCAAAAGACTCAATTTAAGTCAGAAATTATCCATAGTTTCTTCTTGTCTAGTTTAGTCCCGTTTCTTTCCCACTGTGGATTATTTTACCCATTCTTTGAAACCTTTTATTCCTCTTTTACAGATTTTTAGTTCACCCCGTTCTCTCATTCCAGATCGTGGCCAAAGAACTACGGCCCAACAGTCTAAGAGCTCGATTCGGGGAGAACACCGTCAAGAACGCTCTTCATTGCTCGGATTTGCCGGAGGATGGTCCCCTCGAGGTAGAGTGTTCACTAGGGTTTGGTTTAGAGAATAGTTTAGGGTTCAATTGGCTGACTAAGAGAGATTTGATGATTTCGTAGTACAGGGTGAATGAAGAATATTTCAGTATTGGATCTTCATCAAAGGCTCTTCATTCTGGTAACTCTGACTTAATACTGAAATATCTTGGATTCTGGAATGGGTCTTTCTTAGTTGTAACTTCTTCAGTATAGGGGATATTCATTTCATATTCCTTTTTTATGTATTGCTTTTAGTTTTCATCTCTATTGATTCTTTGTCTCAGATTTTTTTTCTTTTTCTGGAATTTTCATTTGTACATGAATTATGATACAGATTGTTTTTTGTAACTGTATAGTAGGTATTGAGTTATTATTTTTATTTGTATTGATATTGATCAGTATTATCAATATATGATCTTACTATTGTATTTACTTTGCTACTATTGATACACTGTAAAGTAAGACGTGTCTATATGATTTATGTAATGTAAATACTGAAAATACTAAGCTGCAGATTTCAAATAATTGTTCATCATTTCTTTTCAGGTGGAATATTTCTTCAAAATTCTTCAGTGACTTAGTTTTCAGCACATACGGTACACGCATTCCAGTGCAGTTTTCAACGACTGCCATTTTTATATATTTGCAATAAATGTATATCAGTGTCTTTGGAGGAATTCCCCTTTTTTGCTAAACTTTCATGTTTGATGTCCATCATAAAGTATGTTGTACTGTTAATGATATTTTGTTATTAACCCATTGGATCCAAGGTGCATTGCTGCCCGCATGTAGCTCAAATCTTGGTATTAGGCTTACTTAAGCGGTGACTCTCCCCCATGTGGCTCTTAGGCCCGGCTGGTGCAAGTGTTCATGTGCGTTGTCAAGACTTTTTGCCGCCTCTTTGCAAAGTTATTATATCTTTTTCTACATAGGTATATTTTTTTATTTATTTATTTTTTTTCCCGTCCCTATTTTCCAATGTCTGTGTTTGTCATCTGATGTTCTGTATCAAGATGGTAATGAACGATTTTCCTTGCACAGACTCCATATCATCTCTCAAGGCAGTCCATAACAAAATAAAAACAATAATAGCAAGTAATGTCTTGTTATATTTGTCATTTGTCATTCTGAGCACAGAAATAGTGTCTTCCTTGGAGCCAGCACTCCTCCATTCATGGCTCATGGCACATTCTGCACCCATTTACCAATGAAAATAATGCAAAAGCCCATTCCTAAATGCCCACTGAGTCTCATGACCCTTCAAGAAAGTTATGAACTCAGTGGCGAGTCATTCCTGACATCCTGGCCATCAGCCAGATTTTTAATGACAGTATGGTCCCATCACCCCAGCCCTCAGTCAAAATGTTTCATGGTGGCAAGTTCCCATAACCTAGCCTTCAGCCAAGTTTTTTGCTATGTGATGGTCAGACCACCTGGATCCTTAGGGTTAAATATAGGGTTTCAGAATAAGCTTGTACTGCCTTTTTCATGGTTCATTGAATAAATTATATATATTTAAATTACTTATTATTGTATTTAATATCATTATTGTAATATCATTATTATTGTTATTAATTATTCTCGACATCATATTCATATTCATATTCATTATTAACACAATCATTATTAAACTACTACTACTACTACTACAACTAGTACTGCTACAACTACTATACCACAACAAGTACTTCTACTACTATTATTACTACTACTACTACTGCAAATACCACTACTACTACAACTACTACTACTACAACTACAACTATTACTGTTACTACTACTACTACTGCTACTACTACTACCTCTACTACTACTACTACTACTACTACTACTACTACTACTACTACTGCTGCTGTTACTACTACAATTACCACAACCATCGCATTGCTATTAGTATCTTCATCATGATGCTATCACTATTTTTAATCATCATCATCATCAGCCCTTACCTATTTTTACGTACTTTTAAAAAGGGCAACAGTTATTGGAAATTGAAAGCGCGTATATTGAAACCTTATGTATGATCTTAGAGAATCATGCTTTTGGAACGAAGACTCATTGCCTTTTAATTATTACACGGATCTGTAGTCCAAAAGTATTGCTGAAAATATCATAGAAAAAATACTTGCCTTTTCAAGATCTTTTCTTTTCTAGGTGTTAATTTTAATGCTTTTTTTTTTCTATAAATGCCGCTCTACATTTCAGTTAAATTCATAATCCCTTTCGTAGTTAATGACATTTTTTTTGTAGGTGAAAGTTATTTAACTTTAATATATTTATGCTATTTAATTCTAGACTCATATCATTTAAGATATATTTTTTTTGTAATATTGCCCAGTGATAATAGAAATGATACTCTAGCTCAGAATATAGTAATCTCTTACAAGAAAAAAAAAATACTTGTTTCATAATATTGATATCAACCAAAACAATGTGTTCACTTATAGTAGTCTGTTCATACCATCTCATTGTATTGTTAAAGTTACATTGCACTACTTCTTTGGACCAAGATACATATGTGTACGATTTGAGAATTTTTAAAAATAAAGTTATCTAGTGTCTTTGTATTTCCCTAAAAGGAATGGAAAATGTACACTAGTTGGTTAATAGATTTTCAGGACCAAATATTCTGTGAAGTTCTAATAGTTTCATGACTTTAAATAAAAATTTTATGAAATACCAGCATGTCTTGTTTTTTTTGGCATTTCTTCTCTCTTTGTAGAAATGTAACAGAAAAGAAAAATTGAATTGATTTTTAGTCATCAATAACCTAATGTTTCTTCTCTATCAAATTCCTTAAATTTTGACATTCATATAAGAAAGTAATAAGTTATATCTTGCAGGCATTGCTTGGACGAAAGTTATTCAAGCTGACTAAACTAACACATGAAAGTTCTCTTTCTTATCCTTTATTTATTATTTTTTAATTGTATTTCTGTATTGCAAAGAAAGTAGAGGCTTCAACAAATGCATGAAAGCCATATATAATATCCATTTCAAAAAGAATCCTTGGATTATTTTGGCAACTCTTTCTCAAGGAAAATACAAGTTCTTTGGTAGAAGCTTTCAATTAATCATTTGTGTTTACCTAATATTTATTTATTTTTTCTACTGCATTATTTAAATTATAGTGATAGAATAAGGAAGTGCTATATGGCATTAAAGGTCATACGGCACTATGGTAGAGTATAGTATTTCTAGAGGGTAGTATGGTAGTGGAAAGGGTCGAGAGGGGGAACTGATGGGGTATAGTATAAAAGTAAAGGTTGTTAGTAGTAGTAGTTAACATAGTAAGGATAAACTATTATGGTAACAAAAAGCAAAAATGAGTTCAACGAATAGGATAAGTGGACAGAACATTTAGTAAACTATTATGGTAACAAAAAGCAAAAATGAGTTCAACGAATAGGATAAGTGGACAGAACAAGGGGATGAGGACATAGAAAAGGAGAAAGAAGAAAAGACCAAGCAAAACTAGTTAAGGTGAGGGCTGAGGACTATGGTAAAGTGATCCCCTTCATTGGGCCTCAGTCCCTGTCACCTAAACCTCCCCTACGACAATAAGCAAGGGATTGGGGGAGGGGGGGGGGTTGTAAACCTAATAGTAACCATGACCCTCCCTCAGGCCCAGCTGCTAGGCAATAACTGGTGTGGAACCCCCCTCTCTTGCTTGTTGTTTTAAGGGGGGGTGGTTAAGGAGTCTGAGGCCCAATGTAGAGGAATACCCCGACCTTGGTCCTTAGTCATCGCCTCAGCTAATTTTGCACAGGCTTTTCTTCTCCTTTCCCTTTCCTTCTCTTTTTCATCCCTTCTGTCCACTTCACCTAATTGTTAATTCATTTTTATCCTTTTCACCACAACACTTTGTCATAAGGCTATTTATGATATCTGGCACATTTGTTTTTGATCACTGACCATTCTGCAAATCCACAAACATCACCTTGTTGAACCAAAAAAACTCTTACCCGGGAACTTTGCCCCCAAACCCCACCCTATCACTATATTTTGCACATGTTACTAAGGACCTCAGATGTTAACATGGCAGAAAATTTTCCATAAATAAAATAAATGATGTGTGGATCTTGGAACGGTTAAAACAAAGTGTGCTAGACGTCAAAGTTCATGCAGCACTATGGTAAAGTATTATGGTGAAAAGGATAAAAATGAGTTATCGACTAAGGTAAATGGATAGAAGAAGGGGATCAAGAAGAGAGAAAAGGAAAAGGGGGAGAAAAAAAGACCTAACAAAATTAATTGAGGCAAGTGCTGAGGGCCAAGGTAGGAGCGATTCCCTACATTAGGCCTCCGTCTCCTTTTCCTAAGCCCTCCCCCACCCCCCCACGACAACAATGAGCAAGGAGCGCGACATACATATGGAATATATCCTTTTTTATTATAAAGTCGAAAAGGTATGGGAGAGAAATGGAAACTTTGTAACATCATCCAAGACTTAAAAATTGAAGTCATCATGAAACAGTTATGTATATAAGCAAGCTGTATTATTTCTGTAAAGTGTAAGTTAGGGCAATACTCAAGAAGAATGGGGACCTTTCTTTGGTAACTTACCACTATAATGTATAAAAGTAACTAGTACAATGAAAGGAGCAGAGTCAGAGTCCAGTGTTGATATCTCATTTATTTGAAAAATAGTTTTTCCCCCTATTATCAGTAGATAAAAAAAGAAATCACTAGTCATTTTACCATTAATTTATTAATTAATTAGGTATGCATTAGTCTACTCTTAATTTAACCCAAACATGAAATCTGGCAGAACAAAATACAAAAACTGATGAAACAGTACCTATAATACTAAAAAATGTTTTATAAATTACTGTAAAAGGAAAACATATTTTGCAAAATATCACAGAAACTATATCATATATATATGTCCAATTTTAACCACAATATTAATAAAGAACGTGGATACCTAATTAAAATGTTTATAATTTCCAACAGATAATAGTGATAGGTACAATTTTTCAACAATGACGGTATAAACCTCCCTGTCTTTATTTCTACCAGTTTCAAGACGTTCAATATCCAATAACAAGGTTTAGCCCAAAACACACCATAAAAAAGTCCTAGTACACTATACTTATTTCAACGTAATTTTCCCCACAATTTCAACAACTCTCGGCTGGTGGAGCACAGTGTTGAACCAGCGTGTCAAGCAAGGTAGTCTCTCGCGTGCTGCTTTGTCGAGGCCGTGCTGGAAGGCTGGGATCAGCGATGCAAATACAGACACATCAGCGAGGGAGAGTCGCTCTCCAACTAGGAAAGTGTGGTCTCTGAGGTATGTGTTCATTTTTTGCAGTTCCTTCATTGCTGCTTTCAAGGCCCCGTCGTCCTTCTTCTTGTCCTTTCCTGAACCTACCAAACCTGAGCTGACAACATGGAGAAGGCTATTATCAGCAGCTAGCATCCAGCTCAAAACTTGTGCTTCATGCATTGTGTTGCTTCCTCTAAGCTCAGGACTGGCTAGGTACCAGGCCACTCCTACATTACCCGTTAGTGCACCATCTGGGGTTTCCAAGCCAGGCAAGGTGGATGACCCAAACTTTGTGACATACTCAGAGTCACTAGGCTTACTGGTATGAGAGATGGTTACGTTCTTTCCAGAGTATTTGGCAGCTATGAGGGCCGGGAAAGCACGGACACTGTTTGGATACGAGTGCAGTACAAGGCCATTCTTTGCAACCTTACTATCTTGCTTTTGAGTGCTCTGCTGTTTTCCTGACTTCTCTTGCTTATTTTTGGATACCTGTGGTTGGGCAGCTAGTGTAGTGGCAACAGCTGCAGGTGGAGACAATACAACAGGGCCACAGCCCAATTTCTCTTGAGCAAATTTCTCCGATGCAGCAATTGCTTCCTGAAGAGCTTTGACGTTGCTTCCACTCAGCTGGGCTGACTCGGGTTTGCCTCCACCTCGGCCATTAACTAATTCAGCCAAATTTTTCACCCACTCATCAGCTTTCAATCCCTTGGCCACAACATCCTTTGGCACTGAAGCCATTGCCAGAATCTTACCAGTGTCCTCATCTGTGCTAACAAACAAAGCTGGAGGTCCATTCTTTGCTTCTTTCAGGGCATCATTGAGGACCTTGTTCTGGGCAAATGCTTTCAGCTCGGTCACAAGGTATGGGATGTTGGGGTTAGCTGCAAGTACATTCTTGGTGATCTGTATTGCCTCCTTTGAAATAGCGGTTTTCCTGGCCCTGTCAGCATCACCCTGGACCTTCTTGACTGCCTCTACTGATTTGCGAAGCTCTTCTTTGCGCCAGTGCTGAATTTGGGCGTGGTTGATATCATTCAACATTTCTGTAAGGAGACGTACAACCTCCTTGAATGGCATGTTGTTTTCTGCAATTCTCTTCTTCAATTTATTTACCTCATTCTCCAGATGTGACGCTTTGTTGAGTGCCTTGACAGCTTCTGGGCCAGTGAAAGCAACAATACGTCTGATTCCCTTAGCAATGGCTTCTTCACTAACAATGACAAAGTCTCCAGCATGGCCTGCACG